ATATGTCAATTGAAACACAGAGCATACAAACATTGAATTAGAATACAATATGGAACATATTGAAAATACACAGTTAAAAAAACACCACTTCTAAATGTGTTTTAGTATTTCTATGCTCTGTTGACAGAAATAATTTCGACTTATAAAAAATGTTTATATTCATATTTTAATGTGTTTTCTTTAATTTTATTGGGTCGTGTTGATTGTTAGTTGCCCTGAGTCCTGATATGAGGAGGAATGCGGGATAAAAATCAAATAAATACATTTTCCCACTCCTGCTATTAATATCTTCTCAGCACCAGGATAGAAATGGCTTCATTTTTCTCTGGAATTTTAATAAGTTCCATTACAAAACCTAGGGAATGAATGTTTTACATGCTGCTTTTTGTTCTAGCTGTATTTTACTAAAACATTTCTACGTTGCTCCGTATCTCAAGGTTTCAGGGCAGGACCACTAGCTTGAATACTCTGGTTTTAATGTCTATGAGGTATGGAGTGCATATTTATGAAAGCTGGTCATAAACTTTAGGAGCGGCCTTAGGCCTTGTTTGCTTGTGTGTGGCCAGTCTCCTCAGAACATGCTTTGCCTAGAGCCATGGCCATGGCTTGACCAGCCCTTCCTCTATCTCCTGACCTGCAGGCCTTGTATCACGGGAAGTTCATCGACACTGGCTTCACCCTGCCCTTCTACAAGCGGATGCTCAACAAGCGGCCCACCCTCAAGGACCTGGAGTCCATCGACCCTGAGTTCTACAACTCCATCGTCTGGATCAAGTGAGTCCCAAAGTTAGAAGGGGACCCCAAAGGACATCCAGCCCACACCCATTATGCCAGGCAGGAAGGCACAACAACAAAATCAGTCATAGAATCCTAGAGTTGGAAGTCCCCCCCCCCCAGCAAAAAAAAGCCCATCCAGTCCAGTCCTTTTCTGCCAGGCAGAAAATCCCTCCCAACAGATGGTCATTCGGCTTTTGCTTAAAGATCTCCGTAGAAGGATCGTAGAATCCTAGAGCTGGAAGTGAATCCTAGAGTTGGAAGGGCTACCCAGTCCCTCCTGTCGTAAAGGAAGAGGCTGCTCAATATGATGATGAT